CTCCTCCGTCGTGGTCAGCCTCCGGGACGCCAGCCTCGACTCTGTCATTCTCACGCAGGACTCCTCCAACTTCAGCCTCTTCTCCTCTGCCTCCGCCAGCATCGACCGCTGCTCCTTCACCTCCGACGCTCATGATAGCAACTCCCCTGCCTCCGACTTCTCACTGGTGATTTATAATTAATAACTCAATCGATCCCCCTATCTCCTTCGTTTCCTAGAGCCTTAATCCGTTTTCTCCGATGCAGCATTTGTTAGTGTGCGGAGGAGGTGAGCTCGAAGGACAGGTAGAACACTGGAGCGGTCCAGATCACCAGCGAGATCCGATCCAAGCAAGGTCATTGCGAGATCTAGATCCAAGCAGGCCGCAGCGACTGTGCTAAACAGCAACCAGAGCAAGCTCACCTGTAATCAGGCTGCTCGTTAGTTGTGGTTTTTGGGAAGGAATGGGAGAGGCGGCAGAGTCGTAGTCATCGGAGAAGGAGGAGGCGCCTCCCTCCTATGGACGATGATTTTGATTTAATTTAGGGTTTGAATTTGGGGATTTGGGGCCGGAGATTTGGGATAATAAGTGATTTTGTTAATTTGTTAATTTTTGTTTTAATTGAATTATAAAATTAAAATAATATCATTTTATGATGTGGCATGCCACATCACCTGTTTTTGTTGAGTTACTAATAGAATAGTGTTTGACCGTCAATATTAACGGTCAAAGAAAATTTTGTGCCAAATTTGTCCAATAGTTTCTAAAGTGGGTCATAAATGTCCTATTTCAAAAATGGGGCCAGACTGTCACTTAAAGTGGGTCATAAATGTCCTATACTTCGGGCCAAACTAGGGTATTAACCCTAATTTTAGTTGGAAATGAATATTAAATTATATCATAAGAAGGATTTGGCTATCAATAATTTTGGATAAATTTAAAGATTAATCATTGAAAAAAAAAATTAATATCAATTTCGGTCACTAGAATTAGTAAAACGGTCCACATTTAGTCACTCTTCGTTAACTTTATCTGATGTGATAGTCAACTGTAACAATTGATCGTTAAATGCCTTACGTGACAATTAAGAAATAAGAAAAAATAAATTTAATTCTTTTAATATTTCCACATCGTTAAAATGAAAATAAAATAAATAAACCAAAAACATCCTCTCCGACTGACCAGACGTGGCCTCTCGGGTAACCCCTCCGTCGAGGTACCCGCCTTCTACTTTGCCTCACTGACAAGTCTCGAAGAGCTCTACCTCGATCACAACACCCTCCGGGGAGCAATCCCTCCTAGTCTCAACACCCTGATAGCGCTGAAAAGGCTCGAACTCCAATCCAACAATCTCTCTAGTGAGCACCCCAACATGGGTTGCTGTTTTCCGGCGAGAAAACTTGCGTTGAATTGAGATGGATTGCACCTTTGACTTCTATGGACAACGATTACTAAGACACGGCTCAAACCTCTTCAAACAAAGTTCGAACGAGGGTGTTTGCTTGATGGTTTTTGGGAACGAGATCGAAATTAAATTACTTGTACTCCTATGGAGGTTCGGCGAGAGCTCCAAACTACGAACTACATCTATGGCTACATGATAGAGAAAAGGTAAAGGATAAACTTGACATGTGTGTCAGAGTGTTGGTTTTGGAACCTTTGTCTCTATCGACCCCTCCTATTATTTATAGCCCCGAGGAGGTAACCGCCATAGAAAACTGCTTGTTGTATAACTGCTACAAAGAACCGCTCCTCCTTCGGTGGAAAACCGCCTCTTGGATAACTCCCAAAAAGAACTGCTCCCTGCTTCCTCTGAGTGGTGGTTACTCCTTCAACCGCCTAGGTGCCTCTCTTGGAACCGTCGTGGGTTTTGGAGTGTAGCTTGCCTCGCCTGGTCTTGTTCTGAATCTCGTGCCATGCTAGTCTTTTGGCGAGCATGTGGTGTCTCGAAAAGGGGGTCGTGGTCTGCTTGCCTCGCGGCCATGGACTTCTTAATCATGTCCATGGCCTTCTTGTCAAACGGTCATGGACCTCTTGAGATATATTCACTAGTGATATAATGCTCCATCACCACGCCCTTCTCATTCGTGTCCATGGCCACTCTTATGAAGTGGCATGGACTTCTCAATCATGCACAAGGCCCCTCTCATGAGGCGGCATGGCCTTTCCATACTTAGTATTTTCAATCATCTCTAATGCTTCTTGCTTCGCGTCCATGGCCATCACTTGACACGGCCATGGACCTCTTAATCATGCACATGACCCTTCTCGTGAGGCGGCATGACCTTCTCAGACTTAGTATATTTTGGATCATGAGGCGACATGGCCTCCTCATTCGCGGCCATGGGCTTCTCAGTCATGTCTGTGGCCCTTCTCGTGACACAGCATGGCCCTCTCATACTTAGTATCTTTTCTTGCGTCCATGCCCCTTCCCGTGAAGTGGCCTGGACGTCTCATCTTGTATCGCGTCCATGCCCCTTCTCATGAAGCGGCACGTACCTCTTCCAAACTTACTTTATTTTTCAGTCATTAGGCCTTGGTCATGGGGCGACATGGCCTCTTCGTGAAGTGGCATGCCATTCTCGAGACTTAGAATATTTTTGACCATATCGAGGTCTTCCTTGAGATGGCATGTGCTTCTAAATTATAGAAGGACATGTTTTTTGTGTCGTTTGGTCTTGGTTATGAGGCGGCATGGCCTCTTCATTCATGGCAATGGACTTCTCATACTTAGAAATTTTCATGCCAACTCGTGGCATGGCATGGCCTCTTACGAGAGGCCCATGTCCCTCATTGAATCATGTCCATGCTCATAAATGAGCTAGTGACTTGGGTTTAAAATCAATATCCATAAGGTCCAATTTAAACAATATTAATTGTTATAATGGGTGTGGCCTTATAAACTCATTGATTATCTTGTAACTCACCAATGTGGTACAAGATAAAATTTATGGTGTAAACAGTTGCCTAAAAAATCACAGCTGCCTCGATACCAGCGATAACGCCGGAATAATTGGTAATTTCACCGCCACTCTGCCTCCCAATTTGGTCCAAATCTTGATGAGGAACAAGATTGTTTTTGTTTGTTGGTTTTGGTTGAGATTGAAAGCCACTGCGAACTTCGCAATTGAAAGAGATTTGGAGGGGAGAAGCAAATTGAAGATTGAGTTGTGGGTCCACTGCAGCAACAATCAAATAAATTCGTTTGAGCCCACGAATATAGTCGAACCCGGCAGGTTTTTCCGCCCCCTTTCCAGCCAACGACCATTATGTTCTTGCTACGACGTTGTTGTCGTTAGCTCTACTAGGATTGATTTTCATTTTTTGACCTGTGAGGTCCTTTTTTTCTCTGCTTTTGCCCTCTTCGTCTCAGTCTGGAATGGTTTGTTGGAGTAATGTTAGGAACTTAAGGTACACCGCAAGGAAGGAGAAATCACCGGACGATAGTAAGATAATTGAAGGGGAAATTGAGGTGGCTGGTTGAGTGACGTGGCAGGTCGAGTTTGATGATGTGACAGGTTAAAATTTGGTGAGTCGACACTTTTGTTAGCCACGTCAGCACTTAACTGACGGTTTAACGAAGACTAACTAATAGTGACTAAACATCGACCGTTTTACTAATTTGAATGACAAAAATTAATATTAATTTTTTCAGTAACTAAACATAGAACATTTTAATAAACCCAGTGAACAATCTTTGCATTAACCCCAATAATTTTAGCTAAATATTTTGCTGAATTGTCAAAACGAATACACGTTAGTATTAGGGGTGTTCAAACGGTGTGGTTACCATGGTAATCGTTTTAACCAGTACTATTTGGATAATTTAGTTTGGTTAATTTGGAAAATTGGTTTGGTTAAAGTTTTTAGTTTGTTATGTTTAGGCGGTTTGGTCTGGTTTCAGACACTCCTAACCAGCCAAACCAAATTAACCAGATAAATAATGAGCCATATATCTAATATATACACATACTTAATACTTTGAATAACCACTCAATAATTAAAACGTTCATCCTTTTAGACTCATAAAATATAAAGCTTGATATTGTTCCTATAATGTATATTTGTATATGTAGAGTGTAGACTACAACATATAAACGCTTAATTTAGAGAAATCTCATACATTATGTTGGATGAAAACTTGAAACTAAGGTCCTTTTCAGCCTATGAAAATTGCTAAAAGACTAAGTCAATTCAAACAAACACAAGAATTCATTAACCCATACCATTGTGATAAATTTTTGTTAGGTGAATACTTCTATACTAACCGTAAGATAATTGTGTTAGTTGCATGTATTTATGTTAAAGATCAACTATAACTATGTGTTGATTGTTATGTTTTATTCATTATATAAATTGTGAATTGATAAATTAACCGAAATTTTTCTCACTTAATGATAATTTGATTTTATATTGGTTAATCTGGTTAACCAATTAACCAAACTAAAGGTTTGGTTAATTTGGTGATTGTATTAATTTGGACACTTTAATTATGATATTGTATTTAATGGTTAATGAAATTTACCCTTATTTGATAATAACCATGATACCATGAATAACTTAGTATCATTCATCCCATCTAAATCAACAACATTTGACTGAATAAAGACTGAACGCTGTTATATTATTTTTTGAAAAGTTTGCCCGAAAGAACTTAAACTGTGCATTCTGTAAGCGGTCTAATCCGGTCAGTATCCTGGCCGTGGATACCCTTTATAGTCACTTACCTTCAGATTACATGTGAAACCAATAATTAACCTTCTCATACGTCGTCTGTTTCCCTAATTGTACATCTCGCATTACTTACACAGCTCAACACAAAGTATAACAGTAGAATCCTGGCAGCAAAAAGCAGAATCTGCAGGTCTCGTTGCTCCATCTGTATTGCCATTTTGACACAGATAGCTTTCTCTAGTGGGTTACCAGTTTGTTTGGGGAGTAGTTTGAGTATCTTGATTTGTGACTTCTCTGAATGTGTGAGTAGGAGAATACCACAGAATTCTTCTATCACCAACTGACTCTATGCTTGCTTGTAGAAGAGAACATATGCCTGGTCATGCAACACCTTGTTCAGCCCAATTGCAGTGACAGATGCATCGTCAAATCGAAGCCACTGTCCGTTTGGATACCGGGCATCAGCAGTGTAATGACCCTTTGAGGGCTCCCTCCCATGATGAGTTACTGTAGCCACAAGCTCGTATTTTCGGCTCTAGAAAGAGAACATGCAAAACAGAACATTCATAAGCACCAGTGAAGAATACCAGCTAGTATAATGCCTGATCACAACCAAATGAAGAACAAGGAACAGCTTCTCAAGGACAGAAGCAACTCAGCATTTGAAACACTAAAATCTGAATAAAGCCAACGTGTTACCTCAGAAGATGGTGAAAAAATTAGTTCTCGACCCAGCACCAATTCCAGAGGGAAGTGTACAGGCTTGTGCAGCTTTGTGCTCCCTTTGGTTCCAAAACTGAAACGCTTGACATGCAATATCATTATCTTTGGAAGGGTCTGTATCTGCGACGACTTTCTGGCAGCCACTACCCCAGCCTGTAAACAAACTTAGCATTGTGAGGTAACAGAAGGCGTAGTACTAATCTTCTTTAAGATAATAGCAAGATAAATAATTTGCATGCTAGTGTCCAACATTCTTCACACCTTGATTATCACTTGCAAGACTATCCAAACTTCGTATATGCGAACTCAAGAAATTCCAACTTTCCAATATGATAACTTCATAGATTGAGCACACAGTTTCCTAAAAACTATAACCTTCTCACAATCAAAGAGCTTGCAAGTATTTGCATTCTAAAAAATGAGCAGTCGGAAGAAACTTGAAGCATAAAGAAGAGCAATCGAAAAAGAAATGGAACCTTTCCAGTAGTTGACGCTCTGTATCCTTCCAGATTCTCAGGTGCACAGAATAAACGAAGTGCATCCTCTATGGTGCCAATAGCATCAGAACAAATATCAAGGTGGAGCAGCAGGAATGGATCAACAGTAGCAGAGGCTTTGTTACCTGGACAAGACGAAACAAAGAGTCAAATTGGGTTAAGGAAATGAAACCTCTGCAGCAAAACGAACAATAACCAGCTGAGGATGAGTCGTGGCAAAGGATTCTTTCTTCCCAACATAATCGAAGAACAAAGGCTCATGTCAAAAAATAAAAACCTTCAGCCTTCACCACACTTCTTAATTGTCCGCCAAATATATCACTTAATGCAGAATGAGGGAAGCTCTGAGTCCTAGTCACTGCAGATTTGTTCTTTGGTCCAACTGTCTCCCATTCATCATCTTCTGTAGAAGTCACCAGAGAAGAACTGACACCACTAATGCCAGAAGCTTGACCGTCAAGCTTAAGTAATTCAACATGTATTTGATCCAAGATGAAACTCAGAAACTCCTGAGCATCTTCCTGCCTGAAAGCAGTTGTGATATGGGATACAAGTTTAATATGAGTCCAACAGAATAGACAACAACTACTGTGATCCACATGCCTACCTTGGCCTTCCTGATATGCTGCTTGGAACATCTGGAGTGAAATGTTTAAGCACGGCTTCAAACATTGCTGGGCGAAAGGGTCTACCAGTCTCAAGAACAGACTTTTTGTCATTTGTATTGCTTGGCATATCAAATTTGGAAATTAGCTCCGTTAATGCAGTTAATGTAGGAAAGCCAACCTAGCAACCACACAAACAAGAACCGAGATATTGTGAGAATGCCAATCTTCTCAATAAAAATCGTCTTTCAAAACAATTAAGGAAAGGTAAGAGGTAAGAAGTACTACAATCGTCTTCTAAAACAATCTTCTATTGAATCATATCCTCTTTATAGCTTTGTGCTTTAAATACTACTAATAATAATGCTTTCGAATTTTAATCACATTCAACCTTATTATAAGAACAAGATAGAGGAAAGAAGTACTACATTTCAAGAAAGAAGGTACTAGAAACAAACCTTAGCAATATCACGGATTCTAAGCTCCTGCAATAATTGAGTAAAAGGAGAACAAGATAAGAGTGCCTGTAGTGTAGCATTGAGGAAGCATAAGTTTCCTGAATTTACTAAACCATGTGGTAGCAAATTTCTGACTGGTGCAATAGATCCATTGGTTGGATTCTGTCCATTCTCCTTTTCCACATGTAGCACTGAATAGTCTACAGTTGCATGCAGGTGCATATCCATGACAGTTTCATCATCAAGAACATGAAATTTTGAATTCCTAGGAGAAGTTACAGCCCCATTTTCATGCTGAGATGCAGGTGAGGAAATCAAACTAACACTTTTGATCGCCAAGTCCTTCACACCATGACTGAGAAATTGTTCGTTGGTAGTAGCATCAATTCTTCCATTTTCTTGTGGATGAGCATGACCAGGTGTTTCATGTGTTTCATTCAAGGTCCTGAAATCTTTGTTGTCAACTGACTTTCCGCTTCGAAGACCCGCATTTCCCGTAACGTATCCCTCTTCCCTATTCAATTCACAGCTAAAGTCACCAAAAGTTATTCCACTTGCAGGCTTCGATAATTGAAACTGTGAGTCTTTCTTTCCCACATCCTTCTGAGCTTTTGCAGCTGACTTCTGTTGCATCCATGATTTGGTTTCATCTTCAGTGAATGAACCAAATACTAGTAACTGCAGATTGGAGAAAGCAAAAAGAAAAAAACAATTGCATTCTTAAGTGAAGTCCAAAAAGGTCTCTGCAATAAGAAAATAAAAGAGATATAGTCGGAGCAAATTATTCTAAAGGAAGAATTAGGTCCAAGCTCTAGCCACTGACACATGCTAAGGATCTAAATTGTTTGATCTATATATCACAATGGGTCTGAATAAAACCATATCACAGATCACAGATACATAACCAGGGAAAAGCAAATTGTGGTTCCACTTCACAAAATTAATTTAAGAACCTCTTCTAAGAATGGATAACATAAAATGCAGAATTAATGATATTTCAACTTTATTTGAACAATTTTTTCAATCAAATCCCATCAGAACAGCAACACCTTCTGGGACACCCCCTGCATATGAGGACAGTAAGAAATAATGCGCTACTCATGATGCTGCAATTATGACCTCAGTCACAGAGAAAAATGAACATAGACAGCAGCTAAGCCCATAGAGGAAAGGACCGTTGTGCTTCTAAGCTTTGTGGAAGAATTAATAGTGAAAGAAACAACGCGTGGATTAGCAGAGAGCAACAAGGAAGCTGGAATCTTCACTCTCCCGGACTGAATCGAACACAATAACTACGCAGTCAAACATAAGAAAGCTGGATTCTTCATTAAACACTAGGAAAGCAACCATCCAACACCGCAGCACCAAGATGAATATCAACGACAAAAAGGAAGAGGGGAAAAAAAGCTTACTTTCGGATTACTCATGTTGTAGAAAATCCCAAGCTACAACCGCACGGTCTCAAGTGAAGAATATAGCAGAAGACACTGGAACCTTTTTCTTTGAAAGACAAAAGCAAGACGAGTAAAGACGACGATGGCGAACTGTATGAAAACAAGAAGAGAGTAATGAAGGCCTAGGGTTTGAGGGGAGCAGCTCGGCTGGGGATGGAAATATAAGGCAGTGAAGAGAGAAGCGGCGTCGATTGAAGACATGTAATGGTCAGAAAAGACGCCAATTGGCTTGACCAGAGAGAGCATTTAACAATCGGACCCTCCCTGGAAAGATGCCGCTCACCGGAGCGGTGCATAGATAATGGGAAAGGGAAGAAAGAGGAAGGGACGGAGGGAGAATTGGCGGAGGAGATTTCCAGGGTTCTTCGACGCTTCTCCTAATTCTGATATGTTAGGTTTTCCTCCGAGCCCCTGCCCTCTACTATGGTGGGCCCTTACTTTGGCAAATAAGCAAAGTTGTCAAACCACTGGTTTGCCAGTGCGTCGGTTTCCTAGGTGAAATGGTCCGACCGGGATAATACCATTATCAATATCGGTTTGTACCAGTTAAACAAAAATGTGTATAATAATTGATAAATAAAATCAAAAACGATAGTACAGTTGCAGTTTTAACTAAATATTAAGCGCAATTTTTAGAAAAAAGAAAACCCACTAAGGAGGCATTTTCTGTGCACGCAGACTCATGTTACTGTCCATCGTGACCCAGCGGTACTGTTTCAACTCGGATGGTACTCGGGTGTGGGCGGCCGCAGGTGAGGGCTCTTTTGTCCGGGACAAGATTTATCCAGTTTCGTTGCATTTTGACGTTGGTTTACCTTCTGGTTGGGTGACCTCTTCTTGACCCTCGCGCGCGTAGATCGCACGACGTATGTTTCCGCCTCGAGTTATGCGTCTCTTAGCGAGTAGTTGCAGAGATTGGAGAGGCGACCTTCTTTATCTACTACTTTCATCTAGTGGTGGCTATACGGTCCGGTCCGGTTAAATTAACCCAAATTGATCAGGTCCGGTCCAGTCTTTTTGAAAATATAAGGACCAAAGATTGGATTGGATACAGTCCGGTCTTGATCCGGTCCGGTCTTGACCCGGTCCGGTCCCAACTCGGTCTTGATTTTATATTGAGCTTGTGGGGATTTGAGTGGCCTAAGGCTTGAAAGGGTGAGGAGTTGGTTAAGTTTTGTACTAAGTGCAAAGGTTTGTGACCGTTTATGCAAATTACCCTTAAGTTTTGGGTGTTGAGCTCTCTTATCCGGTCTTTATCCAGTTTTCGATCTAGTCCCGAACGATTTTTTACCTCAAATCTAAGCCCAAAGATTGGATTGGATTATTTACTATCTGGTCCCGATCCGGTCTCGGTCCAGGTTATACGGTCCGGTTTTGGGTAAAAACAAAAAACCTGGACCAAATAGCCAGCCCTACTTTCATCATTAGGCACCTGATTTGACGTGACACTGGTGAGAAAAGGTAAAGAGAGGGGTAGTGGGGCTTACTGAGGGAAACAGAGAGCTTGAAGAGACGACCGAAAAGAGAGTGCAAATGAGATATTTTTCGTTTTTTCTTGGTGGATTAATCACCATGTTTTCCTTTCATTATGATCCACTCATTTAACCTACCTCATGACATCCCTTATCAGTTTGCTTGGACGATACCCAGTGTAGGCCCTCAAAGTAATCCACTGAAACCGTTCTCTCTCTTTCCTCTCCCTTCTCTCAACGCGTCGATGCGACCAAGAATCGGAGAACTGACAAGCACTCCGGCGACTGTGATTCGACTTATTCTCCTCAACACAACGTCGAGCAACTCGGTGAGGAACACAACGTCTTTAGGTCTCTTCAGTGACGAAAACCTGGTGTTATGAAACACCTTCTGGTGACTCTCAAAGTTACATCTATTAATCTGCTTATTCCAACAGTAGGCACTGCATCAGCGAACCCGGCAAATCTGAGCAGAGAATGTGAAATATCTTGTTGTATAAATTATTTGTATATAATATTGAATCGTTTGCTTCCACTGATCACCAGTTCTATCGATTCTGCCATCTTTGTAGGTTTAAGTTGCAGTTGGAACAACAAAGATGATGGTGGCCATGAAGATTAGGTAGTTTTAGACCATCTCCAACAAGGAAATGCCAAAATGCTAGAATGCCAATTGGTTTTGGCATTTTGACACTCCAAAAGTGGTTTTTGCTCCAACAAACAATGCCAAAGTGCTATAAGGCCAAATCTTCTTTTTTGTGATAATCTAGTTTAATGTAAATTTCATCATTCTAATTAGATAGTTTGTAGATTCTTTGTATACAGGTAGCAATAATTAATTAAGACGAACATTTTGATATAATTTTTTTAATTTCGACGTAAAAATCATTCATCGTTAAATATTATATCATTAATGAGAGAAGCACAATAATTGGTGGATTCAGACCAAACAACCCATACCATGCACGTTAATTATTAAAATAAGTTTAATTAGATTGATTTTGTATTAGTTAGGTATGAGGAGGTATTCGGGAGACCCTACCAGTTATAGTAATCATGGGAGGTCGAAAATCCAAGGGACACAGGAGCATCGTCAGACCCAGGGTAAGTTAAGAGTTAGAATCTCGAAACTTGCCTAAGAAAAGTCATCAAGCCAGTCGAGGAAAGACAAGAAGGTAGAACACTCGATGTAAGTTCTAATAAATGTCAGAGGAAGCAAGTAGAACCGTCGAGAAGAAATGGCGAGGATCTACTGAGCTGAGTCCGGGTGTCAAAGCTAGAACCAAGCATCGATAAAGGGGTTGTGGAAGTAAAGGAGGTATAAATCCCTGTAGTAGACAGATTAGCAAAAGTAAGATTTTGAGCTATTAAGATGAACAAATTTCGAGGTCAAAATTTTTCTTAAGGGGGGAGGGAATGTGATAATCGACTTTGATTTAAGGTCCTCAAGCAGTAATAGAGGATCAAGGGTGGATATCAAGTTACAATAGCCTTGCATCGAGTATCAGATTTCGGTATCAAAGTGAGTGTAAAGGGGGTAAATTCTATGCCTTACGTGTTTTTTCCAAGTATTACAAGCTTTAAGTATTTTGTTGAAGTGATTGTCATGGTTTGATTGTGCTTATGATTGGTGATTGTGAATGATGAGCTTTGATTGAAGTGAACATGTATGAGTGCTTATTTACTTTAAAGCTTTAAGTTATGAATTATTGTTAAAGTTTAAGAAACAAGTTCTTTTTAAGAAGTACTTCACCTTCAAGAAGGTGAAATCGTTTTAAGAGTTTTTAGTCACTAGCGCCAGTCCGTTGCCATTTGAGATTTTGAGATAGAGCAGCAGTATGCTCTTGAGAATTTTAAGATGAGCAGTAGTTATGCTCTTGAGAATCGTGGAAGAAGATCCTTCCACGATAAGTTTAAGTTTAAGGAAAGCCTGGATGGCTTCTCATACGTATGAGTTGGCAACCGGACTAGCTAGTGAGGGATCCCCGTGTCAGTCAAGAATTTAGGTGGAGATTTGAGCTTTAAGAATATAGTTTTAAGAGTTAAGATTTTTAATAGTGGAATTACAAAACAACTTCCACTAAGTTAAGTAAAGTGATCAAGTATTATAAGATGTTAAAGGTAAGGGCATAGACTGACCCCATCTCACTCACCAGTTTGAAGGGCTAGAGGAGCAGTTAGTGAGCAGCCAGTTCGAGGGCAGCCAGCTAGAGGAGGGCAGTATAAGCGTCACAAAGGATGCTTAGTCAAGGTTTTCAGTAGCAACAACAATAGAGATTATTAGTTATTTACATTTATGGTTATGAGTATAGACTGGAAATCATTTTGAAATTTTAAGTAATGAGTTTACCTACTTTTTGTGGCTTTGCTTTGAACTACAAGAGTGTATTTTCAGTATTTTATTATGAAATTTTTTCGACTGCACCACTCTGATTTGGTTATTTTATTTTTCAATGGCATTTTAGTAAAACTAGTGCTCGGCCGAGCTAGGGTGTTACAACACAATTAGAGGAAGTGTAGATAGAGATAGATAGAGAGAGAGAGAGAGAGAGAGAGATGAGTCGGGACACACGATTTTAAAGTGGTTAGGCCAATAAGGCTTTACATCCACGTCTCGGAGATAGTCACCACTATCTCACGAGAGACTCAAACTTTTATTAAAATAAAAGACTCTCTAACCTATGAAATAAGAACAACCTTGACACTACGTGTCAAGAACCAAATAGATGCAACTCCACACCTATTCAACCCTTATCTAAATCCAAGCTAAGCTACCCACTCAATCAATCAAACCAACACTCTTAGTTTGACTTGATTGAAGAGTAATCCACCTAGTGCAACTTCCAAGCAAGACTCCCCTCTTGCTCTTGCACTAGTCCCAATTACAAATACCCTTTCTACCCTAAAACCCGACCTAGTTTGAATATCTCAACCTCCGAGATATCAAGCTATTCACACCATGAAATATGATCACACTATTTCGCTATTACAAGGGAGAAGAGAACTTTGCAAAAGGTATCCTGGCCTACAAATGACTCTCCTATTTATAGTGGATGTGAGACTTTGTTTCCTTTCATTTGTAGACCTTTACGTGGCAAGTATCACCTTGATTTGATACACTCTTGCTTGATATGGCAACTCCTTTGAGGGCAAGCAATCACTTTGAATTCTTTCCTTTTACCTTAGCATTGATTGTGGTATTTCTGCAAGGATTGTTAGTTCAACATAATAGCATATATTCAAAACAAAATATTCTATGATATTCAAATTGCTAAGTCAAGCTTGTTGACTCAACATTCTCCCCCTAAGCTTGATTTAGCATCTAGTTACTGCATATGCTTCATTCACCATAAATCTCAAGATTAGAGAACAAAAACTATTACATCACTTCTACGCCACAGATTAAAAAGACAAATTACTTCATTCATCCTGGGTATAGCTCAGGGCATTATTCAATCAAAACACTAAAAAATGCAAATAGCAGACATAATTCGATACTCCCCCTGACCCAATCAAGGCCTTAAAAGTAGCAGTTCAAATAAACCTTTTAAAACAGTAACAAGCAACTACTTGATAATTTGATTTTACCATGTCATACCATGTGTTATAATGTGGTAATTTGAAAGTGGCATGTGGGGTTGTGTGTGGTAATTGATTTTACCATGTCATACCATTTGGTAATTTGGAAGTGGCATGTGGGGTTGTGTGTGGTAATTGGTTTTACCATGTCATACCATGTGGTAATTTGATGTTAACATGCTATACCTTGTGGTATAGTGTGGTTTTTTGGGAATGCAATGTGGTGTTGTGTGGTAATTGATTTTACCATGTTATACCATATGGGAAAATGTGGTAATTTGATGTTACCATGCTATACCTTGTGTTATAGGGTGGTTTTTTGAGAGTGCGATGTGGTTTTGTGTGGTAAGTGATTTTACCATGTCATACCATGTGGTATAATGTGGTTATTTGATTTTACCATGCCATATCATGTGGTATAGTGTGGTAGTTTGGGAGTTATCGACACATGTAATTCGATACTCCCCCTTGACACTTCCAAGATAACAAAAAGAAACTACAATAAATGACAAATATATATATATATAAAATCATCCTCCTCAAAACACAAAACTCTAAACAATAAAAAACTTACTATCACAGTTAGAAGACGTGCTTGTTCCAACAGGTTCAATAATCTGTAGGACTTCACACTTTTTGATCAAATCATTCATGAAGGCCATGACTAATTTATACAAATCATCATCCAACGAAATCCTGCTGATCATTGATGCAGAAACAACTCACTCATTGAACAGACGAGACCGGTACTTCGCCGGACTATCAGTAGACGGAACTTTAAAACAAAAGTTCCCTCCTGTTTTTGCTGCTCTTGTCCACCGCTTCAAAATCAAATTACTAGGAATGTCCCGGAACTTCAGATTGCATGTTGTAGATCATAACATATCATATCCCTTCATTTTATGCTTACAGATCAAACCACTTGACTCCCACTTACGGTAGGAACACTTGATTTCACCATTATCAATATCAACCTTCAACACCCTACTATCTAACCTTGTAAGGTCATCCTCCAATATGAAGACATCAAACATTCCTACATGCCCTTCTGGTTCTATCTCCGTATTTGAAAAAATATTATACGCAAGAGATTCCTTGTACTGATCCAGGAAAAAACTTGAATATCCTCGGCGTATACACATTAGCAACTTGCTTCACAATAGGGCTAGTAGAAAACTGAGAATCAGCCAACCTAGATATTACATAGTACTCTTCTTGTTCTTCATCATCCCTCTTATTATCAAGCATCCTCTCAAAGTGGACAAAGAATCTAGTAACGCTAAACTGTGACTGCAAGTAATGTTGAATATTACTATTGCTGCACTCACTTAGCACTCTTCATTCCTGCACCAAAATAACAATTCACCCAGGCTGAAGACCACTTCTTCCTGACTTTGTAAATGCCCTGTAACCAACTGTGTCCCTAAGGTTCCTTCCTAGGAAAACACTTCTCAATTATCTTCTTCCAATTATACTCAAAATCATTCTCATCATCAGCATTATACATCAAATAACTAAGTTCACGAAGGAAATCAGAGTCACACAAACTTCCCAGATTAACAACTGCATTCTGAGCAATATGCCATGTACGCAGCCCATGAAAACAATATGGGAAAACAAACCTTATACAGCAGCAATTGCAGCAGCCTGATCAGTAAACATTGATGAGGGTCTCACACCTCCTATGCATTTCAAAAACTGATCGAAAAGTCATTCAAATGTTGCGGTTGTTTCATCATATAGAAGAGCAGCCACAAAGACAGTGAGTTGGTGATGATGGTTGAAACCAACAAACAAAGCTACAAAAACATAATAAAAAAAGTGAGTGAAAACAATTTTGCCAACACGTACCACGTGGTAGAAGGTACAAATAACAATAACCACCTCGTACCATATTGTAAAGACTTATAAGAACAAAACACCAATCCATACCAACCAATGCAATATGGTACGGAATTCTCACAACGCAAACACCACCTCGTATATAACCATGAACAAAATGATAAAAATAATCATACAAACTCACAAAGACAATAATAAACAACAAACTAGAAAACATATCTAGTGGTCGATACTCTTTGTTAGTCCGGTAAGTAGTATCAAAACTAATTGAATCACCAAAATAATGATAATCCATCTGCATTTTTCCATCTGCCCAAAAAATACTAGCAATGTTCTCTTCAACATCAACCTCCACCTCATGAAAGAACCCAGGATCCATCTATGCTTGACGTCTAAAGTATGCAAGCAATGTAGTCGCATAACCATACTCCATTAATAACGTCCTCATAGTTCGCAGATGGTTCTATGGTGCTGCTCGCACCTTCTCTCTCCAAAAACACAATCCCAGCTCGCGCAAAATATTCACAACGGATAAAGAGGGAAAGTAATTAATTCAAATAACGGACAAAAATGCCCCTGACTATCCCCGCATCAATCGCAGCCACACGATGAGTCCGCCCCAGAACAACGGTTGCTAAGTGGTTACTGACGGGTGATTAACAAACCTATCCTAAGCCGTGTCAACCCATTGCCATCCCTAGTCTCCCCTCTTTCCTTGCTCCACTCATTTTGGAGCGACGACAAACGACTCCCGAACTAGGGGCGGACCTAGTAAGGGCCAGGGTGTGTCGTCCGACACACCCTCGCCCGGAAATTTTGTGAATAACCTATATATTTTTTGTGCAAATTTTTTTTAATTCGGGGCTTCCGACACACCTCAAATCATTGTGAGCGACACACCTTCATTATACGAGAATTATTTTCTTGTTTTAAAGTTGTTATCTTAATTAGTAATAAACAATAATAAGTAAAATCAAATAAATATGTTTGTTTTAAAGTAACGCACACCACAACCCAACAATGAAAAAATATACATAACCCCATCCTTTGAAACTTTCTGTTTCCGCGCTTGACCCTTCTTTTATTGAAAATAAAAAACTCATACTTACTTCATTTTAGTTTTTAATTACCGAGACCCACTGCCACATCCCTTTTTTTTTATCCTTTAGTTTACTTGCTCTTGAAGTTGGTGTTGACTTTACTTGTTGCAATTGAAAGGTGCAAAAGAGCAATTTCAGCTATGAAGATAATCAAAATCAAGAATGAACTTCGAAATCGGTTGAGTGACCAATTTATGAATGATTGTTTAATTGTGTATATCGAAAAGGATTTGCTTTGCAACTTAAATGATGAATGTATTTAACAGACATTTTTTTAGGAAATTAAACATCGTCGTGGTTCTTTGTAAACATGACATTATGAACTTTATGAATCAATTTCTATTTAATTTTAATTAAATTATTTATTTATTATTTAAATTTATTATTTATTTATTATCTTATTTCATTCACAACACACCTCTCCGACAATTCTGAGTCGGCCACTTTCCCGAACTTTGAACTTTCCCCTCTTTTGCCTTGAGTCGCCCAGCCATGGAGATAAATGATGTGGAAGAGGAGGAGTTCGAATTCTCTCGGAATTACTTTTTGGCGAAAGAGTTGGGCGGCTCCAGTAAGAAATCCGGCCGGAAGTTCTCCTATACTGATCCCGTCGACGAGCAGGTAAAGGGTTTTTCTACCCCGGCCTAAATGATCCGGCTGCCGGAGGTCAGGCCTCGCTGATCTACATTTTCCTCCTGAACACAGGAGCTAAGAACGGCCGCCATCAACCTTGAGCCGAAACATGAGAGAGAGGTTGCTTCACTTATGGAGAGATATAAGGCGTCGTATCCTGATTGGGTCTTTATGCTCAGGTAGGGCTTGCTTCTCTTGTACACCATTAATAATAAAAACTGCCAGTCAAAATGAAGCTTGATTCGAACTTTGGAGCAAGTTTTTTCATTCCCATTTCATCCAGCATGGCATTTGTAGCGGTTTTTGCCTTTTCTTACTTGACCTCAAGGAGAAATGGGTTGTGCTTGTGCGTTGACTATTGATAATTTTGATCCGGTTTACATAATATCTATGTTGGTTATTTTATGGGCAAGGTTGGTCCTGTACTGTTCTAATCGTAGCTTATGTTCTTTGTTATGGGCGCCTAGGAGCGGTTTTGGATTTCTTATGTATGGGTTTGGTTCCAAGAAGGCCTTGATTGAAGATTTTGCTTCCACCTCATTAACCGAGTATTCTGTTGTGGTGATCAATGGGTATATTCAGTCTATCAATCTGAAGCAGGTACGCTAACAAACACGCTTAATTTGCAGGCCTTATTTTTCCTATGCTAGTTCTTATGCTGCATTGTGTTTGTCTCTTGAGTAAAAAGGTTGTGGTTGCCATAGCTGAAGTATGGTGGGATCAAATCAAGGCTAAGAGAAGGAACTCTCCTTCTCAAGCTCAAAAACCATTTAACTCTCGATCTATTGACGATCTTCTTGTTAACAATATTGATGGGCCCAGCTTCAGAGAACCCGAAAGTCAACTCCTTCTTGCACGAATCGCTTCTTGTACACATATCCGCATCATTGCCTCGATTGACCATGTCAATGCTCCACTGTGTAAGCCCCCCTGCTTCCTCTTTAGCCGCAGCAGAGAATCAAAAGACTTGAGAGCATAATTCAGTTCCTATTAATACAGATGAATTCTGGTGGTGTAGTTTACTTGTGCTTTTTGGCATGTTAGTGTGTGACAAGAAGATGGTTCACACCCAGTTCAACTGGTACTGGTATCATGTCCCTACCTTTGCACCTTACATGGTTGAAGGAGTGTTCTTCCCTTTGATTCTCGCGCAGAGTGCAAAAACAGCTGCAATAGTTTTACAGAGTTTGACTCCCAATGCCCAGGGTGTGTTCAGAGTACTTGCGCAGTATCAGCTTTCTCATCCCGACGAAGAAGGCAAGTAATTGTGACCCCACTCGTGGTGGCTTTCTGAGCCACTTCCATGTTCTGCACCCCCAATCTCTAGGGGTGTTGAAACGGTTTGGTTACCGTGGTAACCGTTTTAACCGGTACTATTTGGATAATTTGGTTTGGTTAATTTGGATAATTGGTTTGGTTTGGTTAAAGTTTTTAGCTTGTTTGGTTTAGGTTGTTTGATTTGGTTTCAGACACTCCTAACCACTCAAACCAAATTAACCAGTTTTTTAATTAGTCATATATCTAACATATATTATATACACATACTTAATACTTTGCATAACTCAAGAGGTAACGATCATCCCTTTTAGACTCATATAAAGTATAAAGCTCAATATTGCTCATATAGTGTATATTTGTATATATAAAGTGTAGACCACAACATATGGACACCTAATTTAGATAAATTTCATACATTATGATGGATGAAAACTTGAAAGGAAGGTCATTTCCAGCTTATGATAATTGATAAGAGACTAAGTCAATTTACACAAACACAATAATTCATTAACCCATACCATTGTCATAAATTTTTGTTAGGTGAATACTTCTATACTAATCGTAAGATAATTGTCTTAATTGTATGTATTTTTGTTAAGGGTCAACTATAACTACGTGTTGATTGTTATGTTTTATTCATTATACAAATTGCGAATTGTTGCATTAATCGGAAAATTTTCATCATCAATGATAATGTGATTTTATATGGTTAATCTGGTTAACCAATTAACCAAACCGATTAAACTTTAGTTTGGTTAATTTGGTTGTTGTATTAGTTTGGACGATTTGGTTATGATATTGTATTCCATGGTTAATAGAATTTAGCCTTATTTAGTTTGGTTATAACCATGGTAACCATTTGAACTGTATCCCATCATTGTCTTTTTTTTTTTTTTTTTTTCAGGCATGCCGATTGAAAGCTTGTATGCAGCCTCGCGAGAGCGGTTCCTCGTGTCAAGCCAGGTTACGTTGAACTCTCATTTGACGGAGTTCAAGGATCACGAGTTGATCAAGACTAGAAGGAATACTGATGGTCAAGACTGCGTCTATATTCCTCTTGCTAATGATGGGTTGGAGAAGTTGCTGGCGGAGATCAATCCATAGCAGTGTCCTGCCCTTCTGTAACAGCGATGAAGGATGGATAATGTTTTTACTCTATCGATCCTTAGGTTTGCTGTCCCAATCAATTATTACACTTGCCATTGTAAGGAGTTGTATTTTAGCGAGTAAGCAAAATGATACACTGTTATAGGTCTCGAAACCATTTCGCTGGTATTATGTTAAGAAACTCTGGAACTCATTGAAAGATCATCAGCAACAAGTTCCATTGTATAAGTTGATTTGGAGTAAAACTTGCCCTCCACGCTGTGGTCTAATAGCTCGACTAGTGATGTTGAATGCTATAACAATGAAAAGCGACATAAATGGGGTAAAGTGTTAGGTCTAAGTGTGTAATTTGTGGGCCTGAGATGGAATGAGAGAGCACTTATTCTTTAAATGTTCCTATTCAGCATATTTAATTGCTACTTTGGACTGCTCTTTTATTGTTCATCGGGGATCCTAGAATGAAACTATTGATGCTATTGTCGTTGTATCCGGATTAGCCATGACAAATGCATAGTACAATAATCCGATTAAACGGAGAAAATGAAAAATAATTATTCTTTTATTTTTAATTGGTCACATCACCTACTTTATCAAATTTGACGGTCAGTGTCTAATAATGAAATGATATATAAAGTGAATGACTCATTCGGAAGGAGAATTTTCAATGAGAAAATGTGAAAAAATTGATAAACATAATTACCGACGTGTACTTTAGGCATTGGCGGAGCTAGGTTAAGGGTTGTGGGGTCCATGGACCCCACTTGGAAAATGAATATACATTAAGAATGGTGGATTTTTATTTCGGGGAGTAAAAGAAGTTGTAGAAGAGCACCACCACGGTTCAGTTCCCGACACATGGGGGTTTAGTAAATTTAGAACCACGGACCCCCTCTTTCTGAGACAATGATTTTACTATCGAGTCAAACTTCGTAATTGGTTATGTTTGGACCCCACTAAATTATATCTCTGGCTACGCCAATGACTTTAGACATTTAGCTTTAGCCAAATTTGAACAATACAGAGAGGAGGGAGAGCCTCGGAGTGAAACGACATCGAAGAGGCTATTTTTCATTTTCTTCCAAATGAAGCAATTTATTTTCCCCAAATAATTCGCAGTCTTTCTTTCCTCCCTCCTAAATTCAGTCGAAAAGCGCAAGTATGAAAAATTATTGAGGGAGACAAAAAACTGAGGGGACACCCAACCATCTCGAGGATACCCGATAAGATGGGATCTAGTGGGAACTTCAAGCCACACTTCAGATATTCTGAATAAACCACAAACCAACCCTCGAGACAACTGTCGAATCGCGCACTAGGATTGGAAAGGGCGTACTCCCAATCTGCAGGAAACCCTAGGCCGCGGATGTAGGACACAACCCGGTGCAACTGAATGCTAGGTCTCTTATCAGGATCAAGGAAACGAACAGAAGATGGGGGCGCATGTCGCCCTCAGTAAGCGCCTCCGCTTGTGGATCTGACTTATCATCCTCAGCATCACTGGCGATCTCGGAAAGCCTCCACTTAGTCTTTCTATAGACTGTCCAATCAACTAAGACTTCCTAAAGACATGCGCTAGTGAAAAAAGTTTGAAGCAAAAAGGAGTGAACGCATTACTTACCCATCTTCCTGACCTTGCTAGGAGAAGCTTTAGCCTTACCTTTAGAGGGAACGGAGGCGCCATCCATAGAAGGGGATGGTTGCGAATTATTCGACGCCATGGCAAGGAGAGAGAGGTGGGCAGAAAAGTGAGCCTTGGAGGAGAACCGGGTGTAGCGCCTAAGCCAGTAACGCGCGGGCAAAAAAACCGCTATCACGCCCCGTAACCTTATGTTGAAAGGCGCCTTAGACACCTTGAAGCCGATATAACTGCATCACAAATAAGCAATAAGGCGAGGAGAATAAAGCACCACTCGGAGAAGGAAACAATCAAATCTCACCTGGTAATTACTTTCGAGCGAAGGAGGGGACGACGCGCGGAGTTTCCTGAAGAAAGTTACCTAATCGAGAAAACAAGCAACAAAGAACAAGGGGCACGAAATACGTTAAAGCAACCTGATAGAGCAATGCTAGAAAAAAATGAGACAGGTTTAACAAAGTATGGCGCTTAATAAGAGCTCGGAGAGTGGCGCCCAATAACAAGAAAGAATTCGGCAAAGCAGGGTAGCTCCTAGCAAACGAAGAATCAAAACACAAGATAAAGCGCCGAGGGTGGAGCCTAAAGAGTGAGAAGCCAATCCTACCCGTTGCAATCTCCGAAGGCGCCTATCAAGAAAGGATTGCGCCTGAAAAAGAGAACAATAAAATGAAAGCACGAAAGTGTCGCCCCCAATCAAAAAATAAAACACACGAAGGCGCCTCCCCCAATTTGTAAACCAACAGGGTATGGCGCCTAAGAAGCACAACGAAGCCGGAAGAATCAAAACACACCCATTGCAACCTCCGAAGGCGCCTAGCGAATGGGAAGAATGGTACCTGAAAAGGAAAACCAACAATTGAGTAACGAAGACGCGGAGGTGCCGCCCCCGATTAAAAACAAGGCATATGACGGCGCCACCCCTAATTCAAAAACCTGCAAAAGGTGGCGCCTAAGAAGGAAGAGGTGAAACTCACCCACACGAGCTCCGAAGGCACCTAGCGAATGGGAAGAGTGACCTCAAAAAGAACCAACATTGAGTAATGAAGGGTGGCGCCTAAGGAGAAAGAAGGGTGGCCCCTACAAAACCAACAATGAGTAAGCAACGCACACGACGGCGCCACCCCAAGTGTAAGAACCTACAAGAGGTGGCTCCTAAGGAGAAAGAAGGGTGGCGCCTACAAAAAAAATTGGGTGCAAAAAAGGTTACCTGTGTCGCAGTGGGGGGGGGGGGGGCTACCGAAGAGAGCACTTAAAGAGATGCGCCGAAAGGGAGGAGAGCTGCCGAGTTAAGAAGGGGGAAGGGAGGAAAATGAGAAGGATAAGGTGTTTAAATAGGGTGAGTAGAGAAAGAGGCGCGCAGTTTCCGAAGCGGGCCGCCTCCAAAGCCCAATCTACCACCACCTCCTCCTAAAATTGCCTACCCCAAGCTTAGGAATGGGCTCGACCCAAAACCGCCATAAGCAGTATATTTGGGTAGCGTTTTTGCTTCCTTTCCTGAACTTTTAGAGTTTCGGTTTTGATGTTTTATTTCTTGTTTTTATTATTATTTTATTTTCATTGTTTTCTTTTTTGGTATTCTTCCCGTAAAAGAGCATACTTGTTTACTTGCGCAATCGCCAAAAGGGGCAATTGATAAGGTATCATAGCAATTTTTAGAGCAAAACCCTAGCTAATAGCATAAGGAAGAAAGAATACAAAAAGTATAGGATTTTTTTCAAAAATACCACTAAATAAAATAAAAATCCAAAAATACCACTCATTTTCGAAAAATTCCAAAAATACCACATTTTTCGAAAACCACTTGGGGAGAGTGCGGTTTTCAATGAAAACCACATTGGGGCGGGGCGGTTTAATAAACCGCGCCGGGAAGCAGCGGTATATATGCAAACCGCTCCCCTAAGCAGCGGTTTGCATGTATATATTTATTTCATAACCATTTCTTTTGCTGTACGTACCTGTGTACTTTACGTGCATCCCCACAACTCGACCAGCACCCCTCTCAATTCCTCGAAAAATGTGGTATTTTTGGAATTTTTCGGAAATGAGTGGTATTTTTGGAATTTTTTTTATTTAGTGGTATTTTTGGAAAAAATCCAAAAGTATAAGAGGACAAGGCCAAGGGACAAAGCCAGACACCTGACATCAGCAAAGACAGAGTATAAGGAGACATCCTCTGCTAGAAAATACAATGTACAGTGTCGAAAGGTCTGAGGCGCCCGACCACAACATTTATGATTGGCAGACGCTTGGACCACTACCTAACCCTCATATATGTATAAATATGAGTTCTTTCCTCATAAATGACAATCTATCTACTTTTTACTCTAACTTCTCTACTTTTTCTCTATACACTTCTCTTTTTCCACGTCTACTGAGGCGGGGCGCCTATTTCCTCAAGGTCATGTCAGACACCCCAAACCCCCTAGACCCGAGCGACCTCCAATCGCCTGGACTCAAACAAAAGTGAGTGTCTCATTCGGAAGGAGAATTTTCAATGAGAAAATGTGGAAAAATCGATAAACATAATTATCGACGTGTAATTTAGGCATTTGGGGTCGTTTGGATGAGGAATTCTAATGGATCAATCTGACACAATTGTCTCGTTTTGAGTCAATTGTGCTAGATTGATCCGTTTGGCAGCAGAAAATTTGGATGAAGCAATTTGGACTGGGGAATTCTGAATTGACTCATTTTGAGCCAATTACAATTGTCTGGGGTGGGGGCAGGTAATCTGAAATGACTCGTTTTAAATGACTCGTTTTGTAAAATGAAACAATTGGTCAAATTGTCTCGTTTTAAAATTGATCCATCCAAACGACCCCTTAGCTTTAGCCAAATTTGAACAATAGGAGGAAGAGCCTCGGAGTGAAACGACATCGAAGAGGCTACTTTTCATTTTCTTCCAAATGAAGCAATTTATTTTCCCCAAATAATTCGCCGCCTTTCTTTCCTCCCTCCTAAATTCACTCCTCATTCCCAGTCTCCATCTTCTGCTCCTCCGTTCCCTCCCCGTCGTCTCTCCGATCGTCATGCCGAATCCCCACTATCTCCACGCGCCGTTACGGACGTCGCCGTCTTCTTCATCGTCGGCACAATCTTTAGCCTCCAAGCTGATCCTTCTACTCACATTCCTTCCTCTGTCTCTGGCAGCTTTGGCCTTCGTTCTACAATGGAAGGGGGACGGAGGACTCCTAACCGACCCGGCTTCCGCCACTGCTCGTTGGGCTCCACAGGGTTCTCATAACAACCACGAGGTGTTTCCGGGGATGGAAGCCTCCGCTGCGTCTCTGCTGTCTCCTAAACCACATCAATCGTCTGATTGTTTGAGTCTTGCAAGGAGCGGGTCTCCATCTTTTCCTTATTTCCGTGATTGGAAGTTCGATTTTGTGGCCAATCTGAGGCCCAAGGTACTGCCATCCAGTAATCCTTCTGATCCGTGGTTTCATCGCTCGTGCTTGTTGTGCATTGCTTCCGTGTTTAATCTCTTTGTATGACGTTAATGTGCTTTTAGCGATCTGAGATCTGACGTAAATTCTCTTAGGCTTCTTTGCGGTATGTTAGTTGATTCGGGTGAAATGAGCTGGATCCACACTAAAGTTTGGCTTAAAAAAAAAAAAAAAAAAATTGCATCCAATTTTATGCTGGCAAATGAGGCTTGACATTGCCAGTCCGGAGATGACTTATGACTGACTCATGGCAGCTTTGCCTCTGCTCTTTGGCTTTACCCCTGGTGTGTCGATTTACGGCATCCTTGGCATCTGCTATAGGTTGAATTTCCCTTCTGCTTGGTTTAGCTCGTCTTTGTTGATTCTCTTGCTAATTTATTACCGTTTGGTTTCATGGTTCTGTATGTTGGTACTGGTTGGATGTACGCCATTAAAGAGCTAAAAAAATGTCATCTTCCTGGATGAAGTTGAGGCTGAGGGATATGTCAGTTTAGATGTGTCCTTTCGTTCATTCCCATTTTAGTTCAAATTTAGTTTGTCAATGGAAAAAATCGACTGAAGGATTTAAATTTAGTTCAAATCGCTCTCTAATATGCTGTATTTCTTGTAACTCATAATGCAGATCTGTGTAACTACAAGTACATCAGCCGGCCTAGATCAAATTTTGCCTTGGATGTTCTACCATAAGGTTATTGGGGTGTCAACGTTTTACTTGTTTGTCGAAGGGAAATCAGCCTCACCAGGCGTTGCTAAAGTTCTTGAATCTATTCCTGTAAGTTCTGATTTTGTATTTCTTATTTGAACAAGTTTTCCTGACTCGTCGAATGTGCAAGGGTTACTCTCAAGGTTCACTTCCCCCCCTCCCATAACATGTTATTGACCTATGGAGTATGGAAATGTCTGTAGGGAGTGAAAGTGATTTACCGAACAAAAGAGCTGGAGGAGCAACAAGCGAGAAGGTGAGTTGATTTTGCCCAGCAGAGATTAAGTGATGCGACGAGTAACATATGTGGACTTCTGAATTGAACAAGTAGAATGTTGTGCGCATTTCCTACAACCCATTGTATTTATCATGCCAAATGTTTCCCCCTTCGGATGGTATCTTCTTTTTTATATCACTTTTTTGGTAAAGAAATAATCGTACATATTGTAACTACTGGCCACACTGTTACATCCAATAAAAATATCTTATGATGGTTTCTTCGCTTGATAATCTTTTCACACCGTTACATCTGTAACTGCATGTCTGCTTCATGATGTGGGTGTTTGATGTTTTTAAATATGTTTCTGACCTTATGATTTCTTCATTTTCTTTTTCTTTTTCTTCTTCCCTTCAGCCGTATTTGGAATGAGACATGGCTGTCGAGTTTCTTTTACAAACCATGCAACTATGAGCTGTTTGTTAAACAATCTCTCAACATGGAGATGGCTATTGTGATGGCCAGGGTATGCACTTATTGGCATTTTATTAAATAGGGGCAACTTTACCTGATCATAACAGATTCCTTTTACATAATTACTTAATCTCTCAATTATCTAATCTTAGGATGCAGGTATGGATTGGATACTTCATCTCGACACTGATGAACTCATACACCCTGCTGGTTCTAGCGAATATTCTTTGAGGCAGTTACTTCTTGATGTTCCTGGGGATGTTGATATGGTTATCTTCCCAAACTATGTGAGTGGCTTGTTAGTTTTAATTTTTGTGGTTGTACATAATGGGGGACAGTCTCTTCTACATAGCAATGTCACTTCTCTTGTCTCTCTCTCTTTCATTTTAGATTATAGAGTTGCTGTTGTATTTCAGGAGAGCAGTGTTGAACGAGATGATATCAAAGACCCTTTTAGTGAGGTAAATGCTTAACCCTACCTGTTGTCAATTCTACAAATTGCTGTGTTTGGTTAAGTTTTTTAATCTGTATATTTTATGTTTGTGATTTACTGTGTTTTAAGAAAGCCTGATGTTGCATGGAGTCTGATGCCCATGTTTTGATATAGATCTCGATGTTCAAGAAAAATTATGACCACCTACCCAAGGATACATATTTCGGCATGTACAAGGAATCTACTCGTGGTAATCCCAATTACTTCTTGACTTATGGAAATGGGAAATCTGTTGCACGGGTTCAGGAACATCTTCGCCCAAATGGTGCACATAGATGGCACAATTATATGAAAACTCCAAGGTGTGTTAACCTTATATTATTTTAAGTATTATCTCCATGTGTTTGGAACCGTGTGGGTTTATGTGTTTCTTTCGATCTAGATCTCTTGCAAATCAATTATAGTCACAAATGTATTTTCTATTGAAAGTGCAAGTCAAATACCTTCATTATATTGTTGGAACTCTTTTATGTTGTGTTGGTGTCAATGTCACTGCTTGCTACTTTAAATTATGACATTGTTGTCTTGGTTGATTGACTGAATAATCATTCCTTCATTGTTTTAGCGAGGTAAAGTTGGAGGAGGCTGCAGTGCTGCATTATACTTATGCCAAATTTTCGGACTTGACATCTAGACGTGATCGATGTGGCTGTAAACCAACAAAGGATGATGTCAAAAGATGCTTTATGTTGGAGTTTGACAGATCTGTGAGTGAACTGGTCATTTTTGTTGGTGGAATGTCTCTATGTTGGTTTCTTTATCAATAGGTTACGAGTGGTCTGTATTGAATTAAATTGCAGTGTTTTGTTCTTGATTATTTTGTCTGACCAAGTAAAATTTGCATATTGAAGGCCTTCATCATAGCTTCTACTGCAACCGAGGAAGAAATGAGAAATTGGTAGGTGTTGAGTTGTTAACTTCTTTGTTTTCTTTGATTTCACTTACGAAAAAGTGTAACCCATGATTATATATTATTTGGACTAGGTATCATGAACATGTTGTTTGGGGTGACAAGGATCTGAAGCTGAAACTCTTGAGGAAGGGCATTTTAGCTCGCATTTATGCACCCATGGTAAGGTTTACTGGATATATCATTTGTACTATGCCATATGAGAGTAGAGATCAGACTGGAAAGGAACCTTGGACTCAATGTGCAACCTATCATTGGACCAAGCAATAAATCAAACTGGATAACCAAATAAGTATTATAATAGAGAGCATAAAACAGTTTCATATTTTAATATAGTGTTGGTGGATGACTTCTATGCTCCATCATATTCATTTTTCTAAAGCCTAGATTTGGTTAGTTTCTTCGAATGCTTTAATTTCTGATGTGCGGTTCCAGCTTAAGAATGTAAATTGTTTGTTTGTTCAGGCGATAATACAGGGTCTTAGGGAGTCTGGTGTGTTTAGCTCTATCGTTGCATCTGCCCCATCTATTATTTCGAAGGACAAGTTTTCAGGATCAGCTGAGAGTAGTAACTCGTCAAGAGTTTCTGATACTCTACACTCAAACAAGATCAGGAAAAGCAGCACATTGAATCAGACAACTGCTCGGAAAGTGCTGACATTTAAGGCTACTGCATTCAATGATGCAGCTGTGCCTCCACTGCCTCCCCCAGGAGCAACTGATGACTTGGTACTTGTGGAAAAAGCTTGATTCGTGTTCTGGACCGTATGCTTGCTCTTTGGCCCTGTCTAGAAGATGATATTGTTAGCGTTCAAGGGAAGAATCATGGTGGAAAAGAAAGAGCTCAGGAGGGGGATTGTGTGTTGCAGTTGTATGTATTTGCGTTAGTTGGTTGGTTCTTCCCGATCATGATCCAAGCGCACTTTTGTACATGTAGAAGAGACACTGATTCATCCATTCTTTCTGGGTCTCAACCTGACGTTTGAGACTGGACAGCTCGATGTACCGTTACTTTGTACAGCAACCAGAGTTTTGGTAGAGCAAACATATTACCCAGATTGAGTGCGAATGATGTCTGAGGTGAACGCAACTATTGGCCAAACTTAATCAAAATATCCGTTGTACTCATTCTGTTCCAACACCATAAGACACACAGACGGGGGCTAGTTCCTCAGTTCGTCCTACCGACATCACCATAGTTCAGGAATCAGGAGGAATTTTACTGTCTTCACATTTACCTCCATTGCTCACTGCTTTTCGAAATTTCTTCTTCTACGGATATCACCATAGTTCGGGGGGAATTTTAATCTTCTACACACTTTCACAATTACACACTGCCTTTCCAACTTCTACTTCTTCATCTGGCGCATCACATCAATATTCCATATCTATCTTAGCATTCCATTCTTGTGCAAGGATGCAACAGCTGGAAAGGGTGATTCCTTAAAGTGGTCGTTTGGATGAAGGTTTTGTTATAGGAAGGATTTAGACCCAAATAGCTTGTTTGAAAACTCAAGAAATTCAATCAAGGGATTTGGTCAAATTATTTGTTTGTAAATGGTTCAGAATTGTACATAAAAGAATTTTAATTTTAATTACAGAATCGAAATTACTACCCACCTACTGTGTCGTCTTGTTCCTCCCTTCTTCTGAGTTGTCTTCTTCCTCTTCTGGTATTTGTCCTCTGATTCACTCCATCTAGCTCGATTGCTCGTCTTCATTGCCAATCGATTTCTAGGCCGCTAATCCAAAAACATAGCTTTGCGACGATGGTTCCCAATTGCTCGATAGCGACCCTCCGACCTTCCTCTCTGCGATTCGTTGCCCGCTCCAAAGACCCCAGATATGTCTCTCTATGGTTCTCCCTAAGTTCCGACCTTCTTCTCTATGGTTCGATGCGCCTTCTCCAGAGACCCCAAATTTGTCTGTGTGATTCGCCCTGAGTTCCGACCTTCTTCTCTATGGTTCAATGGGACTTCACCTGAGATCCTAGATCCATCTGTAACAACCCTACGGACAGCTGGCAGGCTGACGTGTACAGAGGGAGTCCAAGTATAAATAGAGTCATTTGTTATTGGTTATCTTTTGCCCAATAAGCTAAACTGTACCTACTTTACCAAATTAGTTAGTTAGCAAAAAAATAAGTTCTCTTCTCCTTCGATCTTATCTTCTCCTTCCTTCTTTCCCGCTCCTTTCGCCAGATTCGCCATTAACGATCCTTACAAGTGGTATCAGACGCCTATAATCTGGCAATGGCGACGAATACTTCTTGCGTCATGGATTTGGAGATTCAGATGGCGGCGGGTCAGTTGCAACTCGATACCCAGCATTAAGATCTGAAGGAAGCCATTTATGCTTTGGCGGCTTCGACGAAGGATAATATTGACGCTCTGGCGGCTTCCATGGTTCGGGTGTGGGAGAAGTCGCCGGTTCGCTCGCCGCCGCATGCCAATTCAGGTCCTTTCTCCGAGCACCAACACTTCCATCAACAACAAAGTCGGTTGTCGATTCTCGATCACTATCCTCGCCTCGAGTTTTCTTACTTCTCCGTGTCAGATCCGCATGTGTGGGTCAGCAAATGTATCAAGCTATTCCAGCTCTACTCTATTCCCGAAGAGTAGAAGGTGGAATTAGTCTCATATTAATTGAAAGGCAGGGCTAATACATGGTTTGAAGGTTGGTCTTTCGGGCGATTTCCATTTATTTCGGGGCAATTCGTTGATGAGTTGCTTGGTCGATTCAGTAATCAAGAGCAGCTGAATGTGGTGACGTCCTTCATTCATCTTCGCCAGACGAGTTCCGTTTCTCGCTATAAAGAGGATTTGGAGGAATTACACTCGCGTATGCTTCGCCTCAATCTGGCGCTTAAGGAGCATTACTTCATCCTTAGTTTCTTAGGGGGACTGGACGCTGAAATTTAGCTGCTAGTACAGGTTCTTAATCCTCTTCTTCCAAATGCTAAACCCATTAATATATGTATCACCATCAAAAGGCTGTAGTAGAAAAGTTGGTGGCTAAAATGCTTCAATCTTAGTTATATAGCCTAGTCACAGCCCCTATGCCTCTCCAGTCTTACTCATTGGCAAGAAGGACGAGACTTGGAGATTATGTGTTTATTACAGAGAGTAAATTCAGCTTCTATCAAAGACAAGTTCCCCATTCCACATATCGAAGATCTTTTGGATAAGTTGCATGGTTCGGTCATCTTTTTAAAGTTGGATCTCAGGGCAAGGTATCACCAAATCTGTATGCACCTAGCTGATCAGTACAAAACGACTTTGAGAACTCATCAGGGTCACTATGAGTTCAGGGTTAAGCTCTTTGGTCTCACCAACGCCTTTGCCACCTTCCAAGCTCTCATGATTCACGTCTTTGGTCAATACCTGAGGAAGTTCATTTTGGTCTTATTCGATGACATTTTTGTATACAGCAAGACGGAAGAAGCTCATTTGTACACCTGACCTGAGTATTGCTCTGTAGCTGCTGCGAGATAACCAGTTGTTTGCCAAAGAGAATGTTCTTTTGGACAGCCCAAGGTAGAGTATCTTGGCCACATTATCAGTCGAGAGGGTGTAGCCAATGATTAGAGTAAAGTTGCAGCAATGCAGATTTGGCCACATCCTCAAAATATCAAGCATCTAAGGGAATTTCTGGGTTTAATATGGGTATTATCGTAAGTTCATGAGAAACTATGGTACTATCAGTCGTTCCTTGACTGATCTATTAAAGAAAAATGGATTTCAATGGAACTGCAGCTGAGAATGCTTTTGTTTCCTTGAAGAAAGCCATGTGTGAAGATCCTATGCTAGCTTTACCCAACTTCACTATTCCATTCACATTAGAGACATACTTGTGGTCCGGTGTGAGTGCTGTTTTGTCTCAAGATGGTCGTCCTCTGGCATATTTAAGCAAATCCTTTAGTGTGACTAATCAAGGACTCAGCACGTATGAAAAGGAATACTTGGTTGTTCTTCTAGCAGTGGACCACTGGGGTCATTACTTGGAGGGCCGACCCTTTACTATCGTCACTGACCATGAGAGTTTGAAGTTCCTGTTGGGGAAGAAAGTCCACACTGCTATTCAGAAGAAGGGATTAGTGAAGAACATGGGTCTGGATTTCCATATCAAGATTAAGATTAAGATTTTAAGGTTTGAGTTTGCCCAAGTGTTAGGGCTTCGAGTTTAAGTAACGACAATTGTTTTTAGTATTTATTAAAGTTATTTATGAAATGTTTTAGCTATTTTTTTCTAAGTATTTCGAGTTCTTATTTTGTTTCACGGTTTATCAAGGGTATTTTGATAAAAGGAGTATCCGGGCGGACTAGGGTGTTACATTTTGGCATCAGAGCCGACATTCCTCTATTCCTTGGTCTCCAAGGAATGCGGGAGTTACAATCTGAGTTTTTATTTTAAAGGTTTTTATTTTTAAAGGAAAGGAAAAGAGAGGGTGTCTGGTTAAAGGTTTGGCCAAACAAGTCAATAGGTTCTTTTGAGAATTTTTAGAATCTCCAGTATACTCTAATTATGATTAGAAAAATAACTTTAGGGGGGTCCACAGGGTTATGATACGTCTCGGGAAGGAGAAAGGGCAGATTCCTAAGAGGATCGTTTAGTGAAAACCTTTTCATGAGTAAGAAGAGGCGATTCAAGACAGCTCATATCCTACCGGGATGCGAGCTGATCAGAATAAAGTTCAGGAGTATGCCAAGTATCTAGCACGTCGATAGGACTTACCCAAGGAGTTACGGCAAATGGCAGCCATAATCTAGAGGAAAGGATGTAAGGAAGGTTCGTTGAGTTCGTGAGAATCGAGCGTAGGGCTACGACCGAAGGAGAGGTTATACTTTAAGAAACACTAGGGGCACGTAAGAAAAGCAAGGACGAATTCAGTAGGTCATGGGGAGCATGAAAGGATTTTAAGGGATCAATGAGTCAAGGCTTGGAGGAGGCACATTCGTGTACTTACGTAGACTGGGGAATCCCTTAGGGATATAGTACGTCCCTAATAAGAGGAGTCGTGGATTTGGGGAACTAGATCGGAGGAAAGTCCTTGAAAGGAAGGAGTAAATCATCAAAATTAACGAGGTAAAGAATGAGGAAGGGGCAGGCGCACTATGTAGCTAATAAGTGAAAGCTAGAGGATAAGGTATGCGAGGGATCCCTACCAGATGAAAATATGTTCTGCGGTAGCGAGATAGTCTTGGAGCCAGATGGTGACGAGTTCCACGCTCCTCATTGCTCAAGTTTTGATAAGCCACTAGGTGGCGATATGTGCCACAATAGTCCAAATTCAAGTTAAAAGGCACCATTGAGAGGGGTAGTCAGGTTTAAGTAGGTGAGGCTAATGGTGGCGCCAGCTAAGTCAAAGTACGAGGAGGGATTCGAGAGACCCTACAAATTACAATAGTCATGGGAGGTCAAAGATTCAAAGGACACAAGGAGCATTGTCGAGTCAAGGTAGGTTAAGATTTAGAACCTCGAAACTTGCCCAAGAAAAGTCATCAAGTTAGCTGAGGATGGACAAGAAGGTAGGACGTTCGAGGAAAATTCTAATAAATATCAGAGAAAGCAAGTAAAACCTTCGAGGAGAAATTTGAATGGATACGATCAGGAGGACTTGCGTAACATACCAAGAAAGAGCTGGAACATAAGAGAAAGTTTGATGTAATTCCAGGAAGTTTAGTGGCTAAGTCAAAGGAAGCCATTTCAAGTCCAAACGAGGGAGGGAGAGACATTAGTAACCTTGGGAATGTGTGAAGGGTTGAAGGAAATGTAAGTCCCTGGACAACGGTAAATAAATAGTGCTAAAAAAATGCACAAAGGAATATGATAAAGAAATCATTCCCAAGCAAGAGGAGCACGGTAAGGCACTTTCTCGGGAATGCCCCACTCTGAGTCGGGACAACGTGGTAGGATGCCATCAGGAGGAGCCAGCTAGTTAAGGATGAATCATATTCATTATGATAGGCCACTGTAAATCTGAGTTAGGAGGTTAATGCAATGGCCAAGCATCGTCGTGAGTAGAAGTCGTGGGTGACATGTGTCAAGTCTACCTAGAGCAAGCTTCTAAAGGATATGTTGACTATGAGAGATGACGATGAGCTACTGAACGGTGTTCGGCTATC